TATTAAAATATCATAATATGTGTACCATGAATAACTAGAATAGTCAATTCATGACCGAGTGGTTTACCATAGTGGTAAGCCGCCCCCCTCTTCCCCTCATTTTCATCTGAATAGTCAATTCATAACCCAAAAGTGGCAAACATGAACAAAAACAAAATCTTAGTTAAAAGATTTGGTGCTTGAATACAATCAGATGGTAAAAAATAAATAAAGCAAAACTACATAAACAGATTCCCAATAGTAAGCGACCTACTTCTTAGAAACAATGACATGGATATGAGATAGAAAAACAAAATAAATATAAGTACAGGTATCTACTCTTTTGCCTTTTCCCTTAGAGATACTCTTATGTTTGGTGCGAGTCTAGTTTGGTTCCTTTTTATTTTTTGGGTTCATCTTCTGTCTCTCATGTTCTCTATATCATTAAAGAATGATGCCTATTAATGGGTTGGATTATGTCTTTGTTGTGTTAATGAGTTAGGTTATTTAGTTCTTGTGTTAAGGGTTTGATTGTAAATGTGTTATTTATCAATTGTATAGGTTTTTTGTTTTGTTAATGGGTCAATGGTTTTATTTATCAAGTGTTTTAATGGGTTGTACTTCACAATGTATGAAAGTTTTACTTCAAAATTCTTTGTTTTAAAGTCAATATCTCCTCTTTAAAAAAAAACATATGGTTTTCGTTGTGATTGTCTCCAATACCTAAAACATGTGTGAAAGAGAGTTTGCTAATATGCACTTAATATATATGAAAGAGAGTTTGTTAATAATATCAATAACACAATGATAATTGAAGAATTTAAGACTTCTAAGTTTCTCGTAGGATAAACTTTTGGATTTAGATAGTGTTGTTTTGTATTGCATTGCATTTATTTGTGGTTTTTGTTTTTATTAAGCTTTTATTTATGCATAAAAATGCATTTGAGGGTAACGCTCAATTCGTCCCCTGATTAGGTGTATCTTTTTATGTTGGTGCCATTGAGTTTAGTACATATGTTTTGCCCGACCAACTTTCAAATTCTAGATCTACCATTGGTTGAGCTTGAGTAAGGGTGGGCATGGGTTGAGTTGGGTAGGTTTTAGTACCAATCCTATAGTGGTTTATGTTTTCTTGGACCCAAGACCTGCTCATTATTAGGCCAACTCAACTCAACCCAAATTTCTTGTGATCGAGTTGGGCAGTTCGGTCGAATTAACTCAAACTTAAACATATTTTTAAGTTTTAGTTTCAACCCGTACATAATAATTAATGATTTTTTTGAACTCAAGATCCACTCATTTTTAAACCAACCGAACCCATTATGATCGAATTGACAGTTCGGTCGGGTTGACCCCTACTTGAGAGTGACATTTGGGGCGGTAAGCAGTGAGTTGCTTGAAATAAAGTCGGTTACGTTCAGAAAATCCCAACATATTATGTACCTCCCTTTGCTTAAGCAAGCCTCAAACGTAAATTCCCCTTGCTGCCCCTGCCCTGTCCCTCGCGCTCACGCTCACACAGCTGCTTACAGGTTCTCACTTTCCCAATTGGGTGATGCTTTCTTTCGTTAAAGTTGGAGACTTGAGATTGTAGTGCCATCTTTGCACTACAAATATATAATTTGCAGTTTGCTCAGTTGAGGTTGAGTTGCTTTGTTTGAAGATATGATAGTGTGGGCACTTTTAACATCAGTAGGAATCAATCTTGGTCTCTGTCTCCTCTTCTTCACTCTATATTCTGTATTGAGGAAGCAACCCAGTAATCTTGAAGTCTATGCACCGCGCTTGGTTGCTGCTAAAGAAGGATCTGAGCAAAAAAATGGTTTCAATTTCGAGAGGCTGTTACCAACTGCAGGTTGGGTGAAAAGGGCATGGCAGCCCTCTGAAGATGAGCTCCTCTCAGTCACCAGCTTAGATGCTGTGGTCTTCATGCGCATTTTTATCTTCAGGTTACTTAATAAGCCAGAATTGCAGGGTATGTTGAGATTGATTTTGCTTTTTCGAGTGCATATTTGAGTTTGTTTTGTTTGTTTTTATGCAGTTTGAGAGTCTTTGGCTTTGCTGGGATTGTTGGGGTTCTCATTCTTCTTCCAATAAATTATCTGGGGAACCAGCTCGATGTGGATTTTGATTTTTCTGATTTGCCCAACAAGTCTTTGGACTCCTTCAGTATTTCAAATGTCAATGATGGCTCAAAGTGGTAATTGTCTGGTTCGGAGTGTCATCTGTAGCTGCTCTTTATTGAAACTTGTGGAAATATTGTTGACAAAAGAATTAACTTGACATGAAATTGCAGTCTTAAACACTGCCGTTATTATTCTTTGACTCATTGTAGCATTTGCTACAATGTGTTGAGTGCCTTGTATAGCCCTGCATCATATTTCCACACATTGTTCCCCAATACAGTAATCCATTTCAGTGGCTTTCAATTCTATGCACTATATGCCCTTTATAAGTTAGTGCATCAATCAATGAAACGTTAAAGACTTAGGATTCCCTCTTTGTGCTCGCAAATTCATAGCCTTAGACAGCAGGTGAAGCCGTATGAGCTTAGGTTGAGATTTCGATATAGGTCTCTGGTTATCTTCTAATTCCTGTGTGGCAGCTTTGTTGTATTTCGTTTTTGTCAGACTCTGGCAGATTAAATAAGCTAACTTAGATGGGAAATATTGCTCCTAGATACCAGCAACTGAGTTGGAGTTTTCTCTTACTTTTTGTGCTTGCACGTTCATAGACTAGGAGGTGAGAATGAAGTTGTTCAAGCTCATGCCAAGATATGGACTTAGGTCTGTTGAATATCCTTCTCACATATTATTCAAACTAATTTCGACCTCTATGTGGAGTAGTTCTCTTTGATGTTGCTAGATAATGTTCAAGTACATTTGGATTTATTATATTTATAGTAGGCATAGTAAAATTATTCTGAAGATCACCTGATTATTAGTTTTGGTCTCCCAAGGTTATGGGTTCACTTTTGTGCAGTATACATTTTCAGTGGAGTTGTCTGCTATCTTCTTCATTATGTAAGTCAGATTTTGTTTTTTTAATGGCTTATTCCATCGTTTTCTGGTTCATTTAGAAGAAAGAATCAACACTGATTTCAACTTGATGACTATAACTGCAGGAGTATGGCTATATCTCATCAAAGAGATATGCGCACTACTATTCATCCAAACCTCAGCCTCATCAATTTACAATATTAGTTCGTGGTATTCCTGTCTCATCTGGGAGCAGCTGCAGTGAAACTGTTGAGAGATTTTTTACAGAGTATTATCCTTCTACTTATCTTTCACATGCAGTGGTTCGCCGAACCAACGAACTCCAACGTCTCACTGTAAGAATTCCGTGTGGATAATTGATTCAATCTTTTGTCCCCACTCCCCACTGCCCACAGGGGTCATATTTATTGTGGGAGTTTATTTTGGAAAATAAGTATGGGACCTCATTTATTTTTCTTTTATAATCATGTCATGTGCCTATGTTTGAATGCATTTTTTTTGGATAGTCCCGACAATGTGTGCAAGTAATCAAGCAGAAAGTAGTTTATCCTGTTTATGTAGCCTCTGCACCTCATAATTATTGACTGAAGAACAACATTTTTACGAATTAATTTGTTTTTGAGCTCTGTGATCTGCATTGACTTGACTATTTCACCACCATGCCATACATTTAATTTTACGAGGGTATTACCTTGTAACTTTAATTAATTCATTAATTTTCAAGGAGTGTCAGACTAATCCTCGACAAGTTAGGTTTTTTTTGGTTGTTTTCTAAGGCCCTGCTTGGTGCTTCTGTAATTGCTATGTGGATTTTTTTTAGGTTCTTACATATCATGCCTCAGAGTCCCTTTCTGCTTGCTTCATCCTACCCTTCCCGGTCATCAGTTGTAGCCTATATTTATTTAGTTGCTCTGTGTGTGTGTGTGTGTGTGTGTATTTATTTATATATTTTGGGTTTCTGAAAACATCATACCTAAGAACATCTGAACAAATTTGTAATGCATAATTTCGAAATAGGGTTGTTTTCAGACACTAAAATTGTAACAGTTATAACATTTCTTTATCAAATGAGAAATTGACAATGATTCATATATATTTTTTCTTTTCGTAGAATGATGCAGAAAAGCTATACAGAAGGCTTGTGCATCTGAAATCGGAAACTAAGCCCCAGCAAAGATCCAGACGTGATGGCTTTTGTGGGCTTTTTGGACGCAAAGTTGATGTTTTAGATCAATATGGAAAGAAATTGGAAAATTTAGAAGATAATGTGAGAATGGAGCAATTGTCAGTGGCAGGAAAGGTATTGATGGAATTTTTTTTTTCAATAGAGTTTGATAATAATTGTTTCAAATGGTATAAAAGAAGATCTCCTCTAGTTAAGAATTCCTTTAGCATTAATCTGAATGTAAGAGGTGAAACAAAAGTATCCATGAAACGTAATAGAAATCAGTAACACACTTCTTCATTATTATTATTATTATTTTGTTATACTGATTTGTATATGGTGGCTTTAAGAAATGCATGAACAAACACGAATAGGCACATATTTTTGACTTCTAAAAGGCATCAGAATATGTAGTGAAAAAAAATTATAATTGGAATAGATTATTCCAATATTGTTTGATTTATATGAGCATGAAATTTGA